ATTGAGTATTCAGCTACCTAGTTAAAACACATGGTCAGTGCTATGTATACATGTTGGATGACTCTTTTGACGTTTGAGACACTTATACTCTGTATTTCATCCGCAGACACCGCTCGGGTGTGCTTGCTTATACAAACAGTCGGCCCTCCTCCCTGGGTATCCACTTAAAGGAAGTTTTAAAACCTATCATAGACTTGGAAGGGACTAAAATCTAATCTTATTCTATTTCCGTCGACGTGCACAATTTCGTAGTAATAAAACTGTGAATAAGTAGGTATGATCGTTCCCAGGTAGTACTCGATTGCTTGCTTGACCAATAGTATTTGTCTGGTGAGCGCACTGGCTGTTTCAGAAAGTAGCCCAGACCCCGGTTCCAATTGTGAGGCGGATATTTAATGAAAGAGCCTGCTCGGCAGGGACCAAGGCATGCGAATCTTTTGGCTGTCCAGGTATAGACACGCAAAAATGACACGGGTAGCTAAATTGCTGATGGTGTCATGGCAACTATCCCCAGATTTCCTTCAGGCGGTGCCCATGCGGAGAGGACTTTCCCGATTTTTGTGTCGTCACATGATGTAGGCAGCACTAGATATCCTCTGACTTGCTTCTACCAAAGCCTAATTATCCATATTGACAATGGTTCATGAGCAATGCATACCTTTTGCGACTCTTTGCCAACTCGCGAAGTTTGTAGTCTGCCTTTTTCCCTAAATATTTGCCACAGGCCACTAGTACCCTTGTCATAGTTTGAGCCTAATTCGAGAGGAATTTTCTTATTATCAGCCAAAAATTATGAAGCCTAGCGGGAGGATGGATTTCGGCCAAGTGAGAAAATTTTCTGAGGGTCATCCTAGCCTTACCACGATACCCCTATCTTGAATCGAATATCAAATTTTGCATCAGCAAAAGGTAGGTACTAGCGTAAAGCAGCCGAGGACATAGCTTCACGTTATCTGTGGCTGTCTGTATCAGCGCGGGGTGGGATTAAATATGGATGAGCTAGCTTAACCCCAGTGATGACTGAAACTGTAGGTGCCAGGGCAGGATGTACACAGAGAGAGTATTATCTGCCCTAGCGGATATATAGTAACCAGATAAGCTATATTTGCGCGTTTAAGGATCCTCCATGTGAGAACTACACTGGACTAACAACATTCTTCAAAAGAATTTACAGCATGGATTCAAAAGAACATGGCTCAACGCCTTCTCAAAAGAAGATTAACTTCTCAAGGACGCGATTCTCAGCCAATATCGAAGATGCTTCGCCGATGGCGACTCATGGAAATGGAATGCTAGGAAGTCTCATCCAGTCACGCTCTAATGCTTCTCTGCACTCAGGATTTTTACGTCGCCACTCTTCAGTCTTACGTTGCCGAGACTTGACGAGCGACGAAGAGAATGCACTTAGATTCGGCGGAGATTGGGCTGATTTAAATGAATTTCACTCTGCTGACGAAAGACGTCTAGAAAGTGTTCTCAACGGACCTCAGATGCGTAGTCAAAGACTGATTGGGAATAGCAATTCGCGATATCAATGGGGTAAGTGTAAAAGCATAGGCTTCACAAAGTTCAATTGGACGAGCAGGCCTGACAAGAGGTGTGCTAGAAAAATACTGGAAAACAGAAGCAGAACTCAAAGCTATGAAAGCCCCCATGTCAGTTAAAGAAATATTCTAACGGCGCTTCTCCGAGGTTAACTTGCGACAGTCGAAAATACTATGAAAGAATCAACAACTTGGTTAAACAGTATATTTATATCGACCGCATTTTGGACTCTTCTCTTCCACACGATCTTCTTAATGAATATAACAACGTTCCAACATACGGAACACAAAGGAAAGAGCCCGCAGTACCACCTATGATTACAGAAGAGGAAGAACGAACCACACAAGCTAATGCTTCAATAAACCCAATTGAGGCACCACCTAAGAAAATCAAGCGAACTCCAAGGGAGCTCTACAAAGTTTCAAACGAACAAGCCCCCCTCTTACAACCTCAAGGCGAGTCGAATTCCTCAAATGATCTTCCTGAGCATGAAGACGACAGTGTCGAAATTGGAGATCGTATCGTGCAGGTGGCAATCAATATAAATCTTACCGCAAACTTGTTCCTGTTGGCCGGCAAGATAGTAACTATATTTATGACAAACTCTCTATCCGTTCTCGCTTCCCTGGTAGACGCGATACTTGATCTCTTGAGTACAGCAATTATCTGGACTACAACAAAGATGATAGAGAGGCAAGATTACCATTCCTATCCTATTGGTCGTAGAAGACTAGAACCCTTGGGAGTCTTGGTATTCTCCGTAATTATGGTGACATCTTTTTTTCAGGTGGGCCTCGAGTGTATAGGTCGATTACAGTCGGGCGATCATACAATCATTCAACTCGCATTACCTTCTATTCTAATAATGTCTGCCACTGTATTAATAAAACTTCTTTGTTGGATATGGTGTCGCATGGTCAAGAACTCTAGTGTTCAAGCTCTAGCCCAAGACGCAATGACAGACGTCGTCTTTAATATTTTTAGCATCATATTTCCCCTTGGTAAGTACCACCTATTTGCAATTTTCTCAATATTTTGATCCTCACACAAAATTAGCTGGCTTCTACGCAAAAATATGGTGGCTCGATGCACTAGGCGGGCTTTTACTCTCACTCTACATTGTTATAAATTGGACAAAAACCTCGTCCACTCACATTCGAAACCTCACCGGTGCAGCTGCATCCGCCGACGAGCGGAATGTGCTACTTTATCTAACCATGCGATTTGCGAAGACAATAAAGCAGATTCAGGGCCTCCAAGCATACCACTGTGGAGACAAGATCAATGTCGAGGTTGATATCGTCTTAGACGAAGAAATGACACTAAGAGATAGCCATGATCTCGGAGAGTCATTACAATATGTCCTAGAATCTGTCCCGATAGTTGACCGAGCATTTGTGCACCAAGATTACGCCGGGTGGAATTTACCGACCCATATGCAACAACAAGGCGAATAAATGAAATCACTAGGATTCTGATATAGATACCGATAAACACGAGACTAACCCTAAGATGGACATATAAAAATGTTGCATAAATAGCAAATAAACGAATATGTTAACCTTACAAATAGCCAGCACAAAATCTGTAGAGGGATGCTGGCTCTACAGGCTCGACGCTTAGGCTCAAAACTTGATCCGCCACTTTATATACCCGTGCATTCTTGCACCGTTAATAGTCCAAGCTGGTAATATATTATGAAATTAGGTTAAATCTTAAAATAAAAATATTACGTCAGATAACAAATGTTCATCCTCTTTAGACCGCTTAGCGTAAGTGATTACAGCAGGAGAACGCAAGACGTTATTTCTTACAGTACTTGCAGATTACCGGGAAGCATAGTATCTTCCAAGGTACTCTCTATGTAAGCCACAAGACTTTATCATCCTCCTTGAAGATGAAGGAAGCGTATACAATCACAACACATGTTACAGTAACTCACAGGTCACCAATAAAACTGCTGTCAAGCTTCAACGGTATCAACCTATTTTTGCGTAAATGCATTGATTTTGGACGTCTTTGGTTAAATCTAGCACGAAAAGTTTGACATTTCAAAAATACAAGCGTCTGTTTGCAGACTTTGCCGGCGTAGGTTTAGCTCCGAACTGTGTCGCAACGTCGTAATGTGCACGTGGCCGCTAGGTAGTCCGAATTTCGCTACCAAAGATTAGAGCTTGCTATCCTCGAGGAGATAAAGGCTCTAATTCCTGGGTACTAATCTGTAACTATATCTTACAAGAATGTTGTGAAAACCACGCTCTATGATTGTGGGCCACGAATTGGTACGGTAAACCCAATATAATGATTGGTCATTTTATTCGCATGAACTACAATCGGCTAGGATAAAATTTTGGACAGGTTTTATGTCGAAGCGTAATTCGTTGTAATTTCAATCAACCGCAATAGTTAACAAGCAGTGGCGGGCGTGATGGTAGGAAACAACAGCATACGACATACCCCACAGTAGCAGTAGTACGGTAATATTCTTTGTCATTTAATGTCAGATCCTTATTTGCAGGGTATGGAGACTTCATGATAGAAGGGGTCTTTGCGTGTAAATCTAGCTAGCATGAATGACTAGGGCTCAATTACATTGCTGGGGCACTGCGCAGCTCACTCGCTATGAACTGCCACTTACTAAACATACGTATAAAGGTTTACTCGCACATCTACATGTATTCCATACGCTAGGAATTAGAGAGCTTCCTCGCCTAATCCGTCCTAGTGAGATCCACGTCGTTCCCCTTGTCAGGTGAAGAACTACAAACGGACTCCCTTTACAGTGTCAACCACTCAACATCAGAACACATTTAAATACAGACGACCCAATTATAAAGTATTTTATACTACACACTCGCCTAGTTACCGTGGAAAGTCTGGTTTGTGAGTCAGATCTCAGTTCATCAATCCCCCGCATAGACTGGCTTTCGCTCCAAGAAAGCAAATCTGCAACTGTTTACCCATATTACACACTTGCACCTTGGAATATTTACACTAGCGATGAAACCCAAGCGCTCACCTGCTTAATATTCGGCGATGAGTCCCCCAGGATTTGATATACAAGCTCCTATTGTTTATCACGCTCTGCATTTTGACGCGGGGACCTTACAGTCATATTCTTTGTCTTGAACCAAGATCAAAGTAAAGGAGTTCAGGTTAATGCTGACCACATTCTAAAAGCCCTTCTTTCTAGTATCAGCCATCAATTTCACAGCTAATAACTCAATTAAAATTCAACTTTCCAATAATCTCTGAGCCTCTATTAATCAAAATTATTACCTAAAGAATAGCCTTAAATTACAACACGATTGTCTTCATAAAAAATATATATGAGCCTCTCTTTTGTGAGGAAGTCTACGACTGAACTTCAGACGTTTGCCCTGCCCCGTGGCAGCCGAGTGGGCCTCCTCAGATGAACGCGTCTACAAATCTTTCTCCTACTAAAGACGTACTACATGCCTAAGTTTCCGAAAGGCTTCGGGCGGCGAAAACTTACAGCCCCTACCGTGGAAACACCTGACGAGCCAGTGCCGATAGCTGAGCACTCATTCAAAGTTTTTGATCGGGCTGAAGGAGCCGGGAAATCGTTTGAGAAGGGGTCAAAATTTTCCCGAGCTTCGCCGATATCTAGTGAAAGAGGAAACATATTACCGCCTGAAGACGATAATCTCTTTGAAAATGTGGGCGGAAATCCGTAAGTCTACATGAGATGAAAAATAAGAGCGAAATCTGGAATAAGCAACTAACTTTACAAAGTGGTAGTAGTGCTTCGAATACTTTAACATCAGCTACAGATAAATCATCTCGATTAAGTGCTACGTCCACCGTCGCATCATCAACAATTGACAATACGCAAGACTGGGCTTCACCTCATGATAAGCCATTTACAGATATCCCTCCTCCACCTGTCTCAAGGTTATCGACTGGATTTTCACTTAAGAATGCTGGACGTGCCATGTCATGGGTCAAGCAAAAACCCTATCCAAATAAAGAACTTCCACCATCACCACCCGCTGTAAGTGAAGATGAAGGATTAAGCATGAGATCTAGAGCACAAACTACTTCTAGCTATGCAAGCACTACAGTACCCACAAAATACGATGAGAAGGACTTAGATATTAGCCTTGGGGGAGACTTTTCAGACATGTTCTCCGCCTTTGCAAAGAAGTCGATCCAAGAACAAAAAAAGGAGTGCAGAGGACTGCGCCCGGTATCTTTTGTTGCTTTTGATTCTTACAAATCTTAACTAACTAAATTAGGAATCTTCTCCGCAGGCACCTTCCCCACGAACCTATCCTGCACCTCTTGATCTCGACAAGAATAAGGAATTAAGTCCATCCACAAACTCTTGCAGTGGTCAACGCTCTTCGGAAGGCTTAATATTTGGTGCCAGCCCTCCTCCAGCTCATTTTCGCCGATCACCGGATGTGCCGCAAATAACTGCTCAGATGGCTCCTCGAACTTCTAGTCCAGCCTCTTCCCTCTCTGGAAATCTCAAGGTTTCTGGAAGCCAGGACCTTGGAATAAAGAGGGGCAGTATGGTCCGAGGAAGGAAGCTTTCCAGCAATGATCACATGAATCCAATCGATGAAGATGCTCAAATTCTGCACGACTCAATCAGGGCCAGTCGTCGTATGGCTGACCAGTCTCCTAAGCCTCAAGAGAATTGGACGTCGCCAAGAGTTTCCCAGTACAAAGTTGATGACGACGAGCTAGCTCAGTGGCCAACTGAGTCAATAGAGGCGTTCTCGAAAAGCTCCATGGACGAACGAAAAGCTTCGGACGATAACTTATTCGATAGCACTATTATAGCCCGGGCAAACCTCGCACTCAGATTTCAGGAGCGGTCTCCGTCCCCACCAAGGTCTCGCACGCCACAGACCAAGGTTATGACTCCAGCGCAATTTGAGAGATACAAGCAGGATCAAGAGCGTATTCGAAACCTACGAGGTGATAAGGTCGAAGACAATGAGGACGAAGAGGAAGTCTACGATGATGATGACGATGCAGTGGAAAAGGCCAGAGCAGTTGCCAAACAACGGCGTAAGCAAGAAGCTCACATGGCCGTATATAGACAGCAGATGATGAAAGTAATTGGTGAAACTCCTGAAGCCCTGGCTGCACGGCCAAGTATGACAATCTCACGCAGCAGTCCCAACTTAGCAATTCTTGGGCAGGCTGAGGAAAATGAAGAAGAAGATGAAGAAGTGCCTTTGGGGATCTTACAGGCACACGGGTTCCCCAACAAGAATAAGCCTCCAATGCGTAGTATTGGATCTAACCCTAATCTAAAAGCAGCCACTAGCACCCCTTCAGGTGGCTTAGCAGATCCCCGGCTACCTGTTTTCGCCCGGAACTTACCTCATGATCCATATTACGGATCTGGGATTGTACAGCCTATGCATCGGGAGTCAATGGCATTCTCAGGCGGGCTATCTGCCAATCCAGTCAGCGCTAATACGAATACTTCCAATAATGTTCGAGGTTTACCACCTGGTGGACTTGTTGGTGTAATTGCCACAGAAGAGAGATCCCGGGCTATGAGACGCGGGAGTCCAATCCCACAAACCGACTATCCGACGCAGCAGTTGCTAAATACTGCCGGACCCTCGCCAAATATACGTGGGTCGACTGGCAGCACGTTCAGCAATATGGGTCCCGTTATGCCGCCACAAAATCCTATGGGTGCCATGGGCCTTACACCTGGTGATCAAGCTCAAATTCAGATGACGCAACAGATGCAACAATTTATGCAGATGCAAATGAATTTTATGCAAATGATGACCCACGGAGGTCAACAATCTGCTCAACCAGTACAACCTGTACCAACTCTACCGGAAATTCCTCGACCAGCTAGTGCACAGTTGCATCAAAGATCTCTTACCCTAGCAAACCATAACCCCAATAATTGGTTAAACCGAAGCTCAACGTATACGCCATCAACTCATGGCGGCAACAATTATGCTCCGTCTATAGCCCCATCTGAACGGAGTAATATCGGCCTGCCAGGAAGATACCGGCCTGTCTCACAGGCACCAATGGGCTCTAATGATAAAGCGAGAGCTTCCAGCTTATCCGGTCCAATAAAAGGATGGGACAATAGGAATGCTACTGCTCCGATTAGAAAAGCTGTTAAGATGAGGAATAGCACCAATTTTGAAAATGTTTCTGATGAAGATGAAGACGAGGCCTGGGCTAACATGGCAAGGGAAAAAAAGGAGAGAAAGTCTGGGTGGAAGAATAAGAAGAGCAGAGACTCTAGTGGGCTCAAAGAAATCTTAGGGTTTTCACCTTGAGATACCACTTCACTTTTGCACGATAACTGTTGCGGCCAACACTAATAGGCGTTGAATTATTTGGGGATAGAAAGTTGGATCATTGTATCATGTTCTCCATATCAGTAGCGTGGCAATAGCGTGATAAAATTGTGAGCCGAGGCAACCTCCAGTTAGTCCTCAAATTACCGTTAATCTGAAGAAATTCTACAAAACTACGCAACCATTGTGCCATTTGAGTGGTGAACATTGAGAATGGAGTAAGGATTGGGTAAATAAGGATGCCTAGCATTCTTTTAACTAAACTCCCTAGGTAGCGTGATCTCCCAACAGTTAAAATCCTACACACCGCTTTCCAACTCAGCGATTTATTAGGTTAAACTGACCAAGGCTACCCACAACACACCTTACAGGGTGTAGTATGCACACATGCCAATGCATCACTAACAGCTATGAATTTTTAGATGGGGTCTAACAAACTAGCTAGGGGAATCGATGCCCACGGCGTATTCGAGATAACGGTGTTTGACTGACTGCCATTAGAGCAGGAGCTGCGTTGCAACTGTTATGAGATTACATGGGAACGGGGTTAGGCTCACTCGTATGTATGGACTACATCGAACTGGATGGCGATATTTAGCTAATGATTCGGGTGAGTCAATCGAGACGGTCTCTGCTATATGTCTACACTCTTTAGGCCAGGTCAACTGCTTGTCTCATCACACCACGTGGTTCGATTTCTAAGAAATTAAGACATAAAGGAATCTCCTCGACGCCCAAAATCTAGTCTCAGTAGGTCTTCCATGATACACATAGGCGATAGTCTTGGTGTGTCGTCATCTTCCACAAAATACACACAGCCATAACTTGTCGTCGCTACTTCTGAATGAAACCTTGGTGTTATTTATGGGATGAACTTTCCGCATTACTCTATACAAAGACTACATGAAGACAGCTCCAGCCAAAATATGGACCACCCTCCCTTGAGACGCCATGGCATCTGGCGCGCACCGACTAGCCTCGCGAATGCCAAGAGTCTCAAGGTCGCTCATGTAGTTGAAGCTAGTCTAAGAAGGGGCTCATAGGAAAATGAAAAAGCTGCGACCAAAAAGAGAATACAGGAAATTTGTCCAAAACACGCTAGGTTGAATGGACGAAAACTTTCTGTGAAGAGATATTGCCAAGTCATATCCATTTTCTATTTGCATTTATGGGAACAAGTGCGGGACAATGAGCCAAGTATTTTGTACGTCAAGGCTGGCAAGGTGGATGACGTGAGTATAAAGATTCAATTTATTGATAACATGAGCTACGTGGTATGTTGGTTTGATTACCGAAGTTTGAATGTTCTTCCGGGTTATCTTAGCACCGGTGTGTGACTGGTCGGCTAATTAAGGGGAAATTCAGACTATCAGAAGGAGATTTGGTCCGTTACAAGGCCCATAGTCGATTAGAAGCTTGATTAACTCTCACGGCATGATATGGTCATTATATCATTATACAACTCAATCTCGTGGTTTATGCATAAACCCGGTGACTTAAGCCTTCGGGTATCTGCAACACTCTCAATTTGTCTCTCTTAAAAATCTTATCCTAACATTTGCCTTCAGAGAGCTGCTTTACTCCCAAACCACTGAAGATGCCGCATCCCAGAATCTTTGAATGAATGCATACGTAACCTCGAACCAAAGTATCCCACTTCCATCTAGACTCCTCTTATTTTGTTTTTCCTATCTTTATCTAGGATTCCGTAGTTGGCCCGTCAAAAGATAAAATGCCGATAGTGAAAGGCCGATGACTCTGACTAGTTTTCTAGATGTAACAGGCTTTGAGCTTCATTTCCGCATCTATTAGCCAAAAAGCCATTTTCCCATGAGAATAGCTGAGATTCACAAAGGGCACGACAGCGGAGACTTTTTGTGTCTTTTGTGGGCTTGAGGGCTTGAGGAGGGGAGTATTTCTCGGGCAGCCGTAGATAAGCTGGCCCCTGGTCAAGGGCCTAGTCGGAGAGTTGCGGGCCGGGGAACCCGAATGGCGGTGGATATGGAGAACAACCTCCGCTCCGACCTTGTGGCGCAGCGAACTGCATCCAGAGAAACTCGCGGAAGATTAGCAAGAGGAATGCGCGAGAAGGCGTACAGTGATTTCCGCGGCCTACATGGGGCTGTAGCTTATAATCCGGTCACTTCCACTTTGCTGTCCTACCACGCTCAAGATGCTAGCTACGTTGGTTCAGCTTGGGCCCCATTTCATTCGAGAGGCTTTGAAGATAGAGTCTGAGTCGTTCGCCATGGAGCTCCTCTTCCTACATGGTTGCCGCCACGGCGACGGGCGAGTTGCGGAGGTAATCTGCACCTCGACCTCTCCCGAGCTGAGTCGACGGGACGCACTCCGTGCGCCGCCAGTGCCACTTGGACAATGCATAGCACGCGAGGTCGGCCGCACGCCTCGCAAGAAGCGACAACGCTGTTCGGGCATGGAAATTCTCCGCTGACGCGCCTCGTGAGTGAGTCCGCCATAGAGGCGTTGAGTAGCCGACGCGAGTATTTCGGAGCACAGGACCCGATGTAAGAGCATCAGATGAGCCAGCATTTTCTATGCCGCCATTTCCGAATCCAATCGAATGCCACTCCCATTTTACTCAGAGCTCCTGCCACGTCGACGTTAGCATGGCGCGTGCACGGCGCGTAGCAGATATGGACTCGTCTAGCTCGTAGCTAGGTCACGTGATGTGTGCGGGCACGACGTGGGATGCTTCAAGAGACTTCTCGCCGTTACTGCCAAGCACAGATCTTTAATCTAGTAGACGTGTGGCCACCTTGTGCAGGAAAAGGCCCTCAAGGCTAACGCCAATCTCTTGCTACTCGTGTATGGTTGGCTTCATGGCGAAGGCGGCCCCAGCGTGCATTTGCACCGGTCAAAAGTAGCTCGACTTCTCAGGCCACTCTGTCCGTGCGGCTACCAACGGCAGAGCAGAGACGCGGGATTACTCCGAAGCTGCGATAGATAACTGAGGTGGCGTTGTATGAATGGCGCTGTGAGCCCTGGACCCGGGGGTGCTAAAGGTTTCTCGCACAATAGCGGCGGCTGGAATATTCCTGAAATAAAGCCACGACACGGGAAAGGATGCAGTTAGTGTACACCGCTGGCGTGGTAGTGCAACTGCGCATGCCGGAGGAGTTCTGTGGTAAGTCAAAGACAGGGACTCTGAAGCTATCACGAACGCGCCGGACGAAGGGCTAGACTCAGACAACGCATATTGTGCCGGGGCTCATGGGAGCACTTTCGACCTGCAGGAGAAGTCTAGATGACAGCGAGGGACAGGGCGGAATCCACACCGGACGCCCAGCAACGGCACAGCCTCAGACAAACCCCAGGCAAGACCGGGCCGCGGAGCTCTCCCGTAGTGCTTTACGCCCTTACCATCATCGAGGTCCAGGCTTTTGTTCATGAATACGTCTAACGACGTGCTCTGCCTCGGCGCGTAAGGGCAGATGGAGCAGTGGAGGCTGTAAATATGTACAGGGGTCGATATTGTGTGAGGGCTGGTCTCCGCATAGCACGAGATGCCTGTAGATCATCTCCATACATGGAACGCGCTTGGCACAGACTCGTTGGACTGGAATGGCCCCTCTACTTCCTGACCGGGCCGAGCTGATTGACCACAGACGTTGGCGTGGCCATGAAGCAGGCAACTTGACATCGTCCGCTATTGCTGGTGTTGAATTGGCGCATCTTAGTGTCCTCTCAATCAGCCAGTGCTACGTACCGCGGCTAACGCGTCTGGCGCACTAGGTGGGAATGCACTTATGATCTAGGCTCTGACCAGGCCGCCACAAATTACCTATTACTTGTCTATCTCCAGACCTCGATGCAGACACTGTGGTAGAGAGAGACAGGCTATGCTAAAGAAACGTTAGAACCGCTCAAATTTGAAAACGAAGCATACGCAGGGATTCGGCTCGGACGAAACCGTTGAGGAAGCTTCTCAAGCAGCCTTCGACGTCTGCGCGAAAGGAAGTCCATCCAATACGAAGCCTATCGAGCTATGGTATGGGAGAGGGCGCTGGGACTGGCCGCTACGCCACCTATTCTCTCAGCCGCTTGGAATACAGTCGACACAAGCGAAAAAATTTGGGCAGCAGTATCTCGGCGAGGACACGAAAGGAGAGGGGATTGTGCGCTACAACCACAAGTAATGGAAAGATGCACCACTGAGCCTAGGCCAAGATGTAGCGTCATGGCGAGACATTCTCGAATCAGAAGGCTCGTGGGCAGATTCAGGTGTCTAGAGTTAGATTGGGAGTTCAGTTAATGCTCTGGGCTGACTTGACCCTTTCGCAGTCATGATTGAGTCATACTGGATGTTTGATTGCACTTTCGGAAGCTGGAGCTACCAGAATTGGTTTTCCAGACTCGCAACTTATCATGTAACTTTATTTGCTCTCATCTCATCCTCCCCCTTCGACTGCTCAGTCCTCGAAGCTTATTACAGTCATCACTAGGATATCTTCCGTAAATAGTGACCTTGACTTGTGATAGCGCACGTCGTAACGTGTGGAAACCCCTTGTGAACCCCTGACACCCATGCCATGCGGCCACTCATATATCTCTAGGTCTCCTGAAGTACTTTTACACTAGATACTCCGCCTCAATACGAAACACAATTTTATGCCGAGAACCAGACGAAATAGATAACTCACAAGTCTCACATCAAAGTGTGTCTCGACTTCCGACAATATGGGGGTGTATGATGAGGATAAACTGGACACCTGATTAAAAAAAGACAGTATAATTACAACACCTGTGGTTAATTTTAGACTATTCGAATCAATTGAGGCTCTGAATGCCATTCATCCCATTTATCCTCATAGGATTCCTTGGCGTCAACAACATGGTGGGAATAATTGTAGCCAGAGAAGCAACTCGTCTTATAGGCTCCAAGCTCTACCGATACGAGATTACTCGACTCGAAGCTTGCTAACAGTCTTGGACTGTCCCTTTTTAGTTATGGGGAAACT